GCTCTAGAATCAAGACACATGTGTGAAGTGAGATCTCAAATTAGCATACTCTGGTTCTATTTTGTCAAGTTTAAGAGTTCAGGTGGATGCAGTCATTATTGAACCTCACTGGCAATCTGCTTTAAAGTAGATTCTTAATTCCAGCTCATGCTTTTGTGAGGAAGAATATTGTTCTGAGGTCTTAAAACTGGAATAGATTTCAAAAGGACCAGATGGAGTTATTGTTCTGAACTGGTTTTGGTGCTAATAGAGACTGACAGAATTCATCCTTCTAGCTATAAAAAGATGCAAAACCCTTAAAGTCAGAAATGTTTTAACTGGACTTAAAAACCAAACAAACAACCCTCTCCAAACAAACAAAAAAGAAAAAAGACAAACAAAACCTAACCAAAACAAGAAAATCAATCAATCAAACAAGCGAAAAAACACCCACCAAATGAACCAACAAAAAAAAAAAACCCAAAAAAAAAAAAAAACCAAAAAAAAAAAAACAAAGGGAAAAACCTGGATTTGTAACAGAACAAACTAGAAAGAAACTGTTTAAAAACTTTCTTTAGGAGTTGAAAAAAATGTTAGTTTTCTATACCAGTGTTACTTCAAGGTAGTTCCTTGGAAAGGAAGGGTGGTCCAGAGGCTCGTGTGGCATATGAGATCAGTGTCTGTAGGAATGTGGGCAAGCACATTTGACTCTTTAAAATGTTTTCCTTTATTTCTCAGTACATTTTTACATTCTTCCACTGGAATTTCGCCACTGAGTGCAGATTGTAGTTTTTGTAGGGATCTGTCTCTTAGACACCCTGTTGGAGATGGGGGATTGTCCTACTGGCAAGTTGTCAAGGAGAATAAATGTAAGGGAGAAATTAAACCATATCTCTGGGTAAATAGGCGAGTCACAGGTAGCTGCTTGGAAGGAGATTGTGGATGTAAGATCTGGGGAAAAATCTTAATGTTGATTGCATTTTTGATGCACTACATACGAAAAACGTAAAAAAAAAACCCCTATATAATATGTTCCTTTGGTTTTTTAAGAGAAACTAAAAATTATAAAAACCAAAACAAATGGAAAAATGCCCTAATAGTGTGAGTGTAATTTTATTAAAAGGTTGATGTGGCTAAGCAGATTTAGCTCTGCTTTTCTGTAAATACAGGGAAATGTTTAACCCCTATTGTATGGCCACAAAGGCTGTGCTGATCACACAGAAGCTCGGGAGGGTTGAGGACAAAGCACCGGGTGCCTGGAAAGGGCCCCTCTTGTGCGTGCCCTGCCCACAGGCCAGCAGCAGCAGGGCTCAGCACCAGAGTTTTGTCAAGCTTGCAACATGGAGGGAAGCATGGTAAAAATTCTTACCACTTACTAAAAGGAAGAAAAGGAAAAGTAACCCACCAAAATAAAAGGAAGAGGACCATGACAGCTGTGTAGCTACATGCACAAGGTAATGGCTGAGTTTCTTTCTTTACCTTGGTACTTCCCACTCACCCAAATAGTTGACATTGATCTACCTTAGTGTTAGTTAATTTGATTTATTGGAATGAAGTATCATGAAAAAATTCAGGTTATGACTTTGAACTGGAGAACAAACCTATGCTGTGTAACTTACTGAAACATTCAACTTTGATTAATAGTTTAGGAATTGACAGAATTAGGTTATCATTTGTATCCATGGAGGAAGGGCGTGGCTTTGCAACATATTAAAAATCAGATGACATCTGTTCTGTTTTGACTAGTATAATATGAGTAAAATTTGGGGATTGTCCTTACGGATGCTAATATAACCTAGGCTGGATTACCCACTCTGGGAAGTGTCTTCAGGAGGGTGTGTGTATCAGAAATGAAAAAAACCAAAAATCTACCTTTGTTGTATTTTGAGTGTATTTTTTTCCATTTTTACTTTGGCAGAAACATCTGGGGTTGGGCACACCCAGAAATAAGATAGATGACAGCAAGATGGATCACTGCCCTCATCAACCAGCCAGGGTGGTTTCTCCTTTCTGAGAACTCCTCATTAATCCTTAGCTCTGAAAGAAGAAATTACACAAGGCTGAACAATGGAGCTCTGCAATACTGGATTGCATAGAACTGTGCTTAAACACATTAAATATCACAAAGCAAATATTTTATATTAAAGAACTTTGCACAGTTTTGTAAAGCAAACAGAAATTGAATTAAATATATGTGTATATATATATATGTTATTAATTTTATGAGAAAAAAGCAATAGTGAGACTATGCAGCTAAGGTTGCATTAAAAATATGAAAGTGTCTTGACATTTTAAAGAATAGTTGTGAGTACATTTTATGTAAAACCATTTAGTCAATCAGATTATGGAATAAAAAATTGGGGTTTTTTATTTTGAATTTTTCACATGCGAACTTTTTTGCATAGTTGCCTATTGGTATCTGTGTATTATTTCTTTTTCTAAATTTAGCTTCCATGCAGTCTATCAACAGTTTTACAAGAAAAGCAACAATACTATGTAAGTTATAGTTATTTCATTAATATCTGGGCAAATAAGTATGCAGTAAGCATAATGTCAGGTGCAGAAAACTTAAAAGTGTGCTTTACATTTCCACAATATGCTAGTGATGAAGCAACTTGTAAGACCCCAAATACATCTCATAAATTTTAATACATGTTTCATCTAATCTATGGACTTGTTTTAGAACCATCATTTTTACCCTCCTCCTTGATTTTTGTTTCCTACTCGTTTTTTCCCCTTCTTTTAGTGAATCTTAGAAGTCTTGAAAAGATTACCCATGGTGTCAACAGAGCTGTGGTTTTCTGCTGTACATGAGATCTTACGCAAGTCATCCCTGGGTTTCAGAATATGCCTAACTTTTAAACAATGCCCTTGAGGCTACAGATGTTCTTAAATGGCAAAAACAAGAGGACAGGGACAAAAACCTGTCATTAAGGTAGGCTGGTTGGCAAGGGCTGGGCTACATCTGCATTTTAATGCTTTAGAAAATGAGTCTCTTAAAAAAGAAGCCTGGCCATAATCTTGAATGTGGTCTGGGAGCTGTGGTGTTCCTGCAGCCCTGATAAGCAGCTGGTGTCTTTTAGTTCAGAGTACCTGGGGTGGTGGGAGCTGTGTTGCGGCCCACCAAAGCCATGGTGTTACAGGCTAACACTAAATCCTAGGGTTTGCTCCAGTGGGTCCCATGGACACAGGCAGAGGCTGCAAATGAGGATGCAGTGCCTGGCAGGAGAGAATTGCAGGGCTGTCAAGAGTGGAGAATCAAAACTTAAGGCAGCCTTACCCATGCTGTTGTTTGGAAGGATTCTCCAGGCTGGAACATTCCCTAAAGCATGCTCAGTTTTTGTCTTGGAGACAGCTTGTTGGGGGATGGAGGCAGCGTGAATGGCAGGGTGGATGTAGCTGGTACCTTGGTGTCACGGGAGCTGTGTGATCACTGTCAGGCTGTGCTGTGGTCAGTTTGGAGCTGCACACAAGTTCTCTGCTGGCTTTGGCTCATCCAAGTCCTGCTGGTTTGCAGGCAGCTTTTCCAGCTGAGTATAGAGACAGGGGGTTGGAAGTGATTTGAGTGCTGAATAAAGATTAGGGCAATGAAGGGAATCTCCGAAGAGAATTCCAGCCCAGTGAAATAAATTATGTATGTATGCCAAAACTCCTGATGTTACAAAGATAATGTATTGTTTCCAAGGTTTTGGAAGAGCATGATAAAAAGCAATTTATGAGAAGTGTTTTGTTGTTACTGAAAGAAATAGCTACAAGGGAGTTCTAGTCAACAGTTAAGGTTTGACCAACTGGCAGGCCAATCTAACAATAAACAGGCTTTTAAAAGTATATGGAAAGAAATTGTATGACCGAATTACGAATTTGATGAGAAACTAAACTGATATTCCTGTGTCAGCATTGTAAGCTGAGATGTTGCAATCTTGTGGTTTACTTTACAATACAGCACCAATCTGCAGTTAAGACTAAACAAGAAACTTTAATTACTTTCTGAAAATAAAATGTATATGCTTTTATGTGCAGAACACAAAATAACAGGTGCTGCAGTGATGCTAATTTGTTGCTGTTTGCTGCAATTCATCACCAGTTCACTGAAATAAGGACAGCATATTGTGGCAAGCTAAAAGATGATAAGGGGACTACTCAGAAAGTTTTTGAAGCTCGTTTTTAAAATTCATGGTCCTTCTTGAACCTTGCTTACTTGAAAGTTTGACTCCTCATGTGCAATACTATGGAAAGATAGACAACTTGTTTTCAACAAAACATTAAATGTGTTTAAGATAGGTTAAAGTAACAAAAAGTGACAGATAAGAGGAACTGACTGCAGAGTTCTTGTCAATAAATGAAGAAGGTAGCAGCTGAATTCAAAACGAGCCTCTCCTGCTGTCTTCTCTTTCTTTGTTTTGTGCTTTTAAATTGAGTGAGGAGGGGAGCAGAGAGTGTGAGTCCCATCCATCCACTGGAATTTAGGATGTTCTTCTAGAAATTAAGAGTTTAAGATAAATTACAAATTTCCCTTCCCAGCCCTCTCTTTCTGGGCAAGTACTGTTTGTGACCAAACATTTCCATTTTGCAGCCCCCTCTCCCAGGCATGTCTTTAGAATTCTGGGCACCCATAGCACAAAGAGCACTGAAGTGTTTACTCCTCAGGCACCCAGTGCCTTACTGGATGTGTGTTACTGAACACTGGAAAGAAGCTTCCTAATTGTCTTGCCCAAGCTTTGTGAAGCACTGACTGGTTTTTACCAATGGTGCAGAGAACCTGGATAAACCATGGTTGCTCTAGTTTGATCTAAGTGGCTGTTTTGGACAGCTGAATACAAAACACAACTTTGAAACCTAGGGAGCTGCTTTTCTTTCTACTGCTTCTTGTTTTTTCTTTGGCCCAACATATTAATTAGCTATTATTAAAATACAATTTCATTTGACTTAACTGAATTTAGTATTGCAGTTTATAAAGACATATATGAAATATTTGTTGTAATTTAAGAGTGAATGTAATTATTTACCTCAATAAATATTTCATGTTGTGTGTTATTTTTTTTCAGGCAAGGCAGTGAAATAAAGAGCTGTCGTACAGGAGATAAGAAAAGAAGGAAAAGTAAAGAGAGAGATCAACTTTCTCAGAAGTTATTTATACAAAGGTGAGATAATTTTTCCCTCTAAATTTTATTTTCCCATGATAAGTGGGGGAAAAGCCCTAAACTACTGGTATTGATTTTCTATCTCTTAGGTTTCCAGGGTAGTCATATAACATGTGGGTAGTCATATAAAATGCATTTACCTGCATTTTCATGTTTGTCTGAGTTAATAGTCTGTGATTTATGTTAGGTTTGTTTTTTTTTTCATTTCATATCAGATTTTAACTGAAGGGCTTATCAAAATATGTTAACTAGAAAAGCAGCTAAAAATATTTCATAGTTTCACATAATTGCAGGTAGCCTTAATCATCTCTGATGTTCTTTACTGGTGTCAGGGCAACTCAAGTAGTGAAACAGTGAGTCAGGAAAAATAGACTTAGAATGACCATGAAATATTGTACCAAAAAATTTGAAGTTTTTTCTTCTAGCATAGATCACAGATTCAGTGATGGGAACATTCTGAAATCTTTGCTCAAATGGTTTAGGTTGTAACACCTTTTCCCAGTCCCCCTGAACTCTTCCCTGCTCTCTCAGCCTAAGATGATTGATAGCTTTACTTGAAGTGAGTAGTAGCTGCTGAATAGTCATCTGTGGTTTAGTGTCTGATTTTCTTTAAAGTAAAAATCTGATTTGGGGATCTTGAATGTGGTACAGTATGTAGTTCAGTAGAACAGAACTTTTATATCTTTTACAGTATGTAGTTGTGGATGGTTGTAAAGCATTTTATCCCTCATTTATGTGGTCAAGCAGACAGAGCACCTAAAAGCATCAGTAATAGCTTTAAAACAGAGAAGGGAGGAGATGGGCACTGAAGCATTTTGACTTCTGAATTACTTCCTGGCAGTGTTACTGAAAGTAACATTTGAAGCATCTCTTTCTGCAATGAAGGTACTTTGCTTGTTTGTTTTTTACCTCTTCTGAAATGGTTCTTGTCTTAGTCACTCAGGAGTTAAATGCTTTATTGGATAAAGAGAACTGTTACTGTAAGGTTTTTAAACTAGAGTGCTCTGAAGAAAAAGAAAAAGACCAAAAGACCATTGAGGACTCTGAAAGGCTTTTTGGATGGTAAACAAGTTTAGGAAGCTCTGAAGTTCTTTGGCTTTGCTACTGGCTGCTCTCGCTCACCAGGATCCTGGCACCCTATCACTGTGCCTTCATTGCCTCCATTGCTCCAGTTCTCCTGTCAGGGAATGCCACCATACAATGCATCCCCTGGGGCTAATTGGATGAGTGACAACGAGCCAGCTCCAAAGTGACAAGTGTTTGAATGCCTAATTGGGTCAGTGCACAGGTGCCTGCTCTTCATGAATGAGATGTTCTAGCTTTCCTCTGTGACGTTCTCTTGGTTCCTCTCATTTTTCCTGCAGTTGTGAAACAAAAGTGTCAATACTTTGATGTGAGAGAAAAGGCTTTATCAAAGGAGAAGGATCATTTCCCATTGCCCTGCTTTGGTTAAACTAGCTTTACTTCTTGAGTACTGGCTGGAGGAGACACACAGAAATTCATTACAATGATGGAAGTTTGCTGATACAAATGGACATTTCAGTAGACAATAAGGTGAATAATTTGATTGGTAATGACAAATACATTGCCTTAATCTCTATGTTAGATGGTTCTCATACTGTTTAGACCTGTGGACTTGGGCATCAGAAAAAGTATGGGAGAGAAAAAGAACTTATTTTGTTGTATTTGCACAATGAGGCTTTTCCTTGGTCAAATAAACAACTTGCCTTCATATAATGAAGTCAGACACAGGCAACTTTTTTTTCTTATTGAAGGCTTGGTGTGTGCATAGAAAACACCTGACATTAAGCCCATAGTCTATATTACTTAGATATATTTGCCTTCCTTTTGTCTCTTTCACAAAGAACCATAGGATACCTGGAGAGGGTGTCTGGAGGTTGTCTTGTCCAACACCTACCCTGATCAGGTGAAGGAGCTTGCTGCTTGGACAGCTGTTGAACAGCCATAGAGTAGAAAAGGGCTTTATTTTGTTTAGGTGGAATTTCATCTGTTTTAGTTTGTGGCTATTGCCTTTTACCCTGTTGCTGGGCACCACTGAGAAGTGTTGTTTACCTGTGTCCCCCTGAGGTATTTATACATGTTGATAAGATCCCTGGCAGCCTTCTCCAGGCTGGAGTCTCAGTGCTTTCAAGCTCACCATGTCAGATGCTCCAATCCCTTAATCATCTTGGCAGTCCTACCCTGGGCTGCATTCTGGGGTTTTTATGTTTGCTTTTACTGGGCAGCCCATGAGTGGACACAGCCCTACAGGCACATCTCAGCAGTGCTGAGTGGAGCAGAATGATCTTGATCCTGACCTGCTGACAACATCTTTTCCTAAGGCAGCACAAGATGCTTTTGGCCTTCCCTGCTGCAAGGGTCCCCTGCTGCCTTATGGTCTTGCTTGGAGCCCATGAGGACCCCCAGGTGTTTTTCTGCAAAGCCCTTTTCCAGCTGATCATCCCTCTTCCTGTTCTGTTTCTTGGGGTTATTTCCCCCTAGGTGCAGGACTTTGTATTTCCCTTTGTTGGACATCATAAAATTCCTGCTGGTTTATGGCTGAGCTTTTCAAGGTCCCTCTGAGAGCAGCCAGATGGTCTGTGAGCTGCTCCTCCCTGTTGGTTTCATCAGGAAACTTGCTGAGAGCACGCTGTATCCCATCATCCAGGTCATTAATGAGCCAGATAAATGGAACTGGCCCTAGTACTGATCCCTGGAGTACACCAGCAGACTTTTCTCTAGCTAGACTTCATGCTGATCACAGCCCTTTGAGCCCAGCAGTTCAGCCAGATTTCAGTCTATCCCACTGTCCACTTCTGTAGTGTGTACTTTATCAGGTTGTCTATGGGGAATTTATGGGACACCATGTCAAAAGCCTTGCAAAAGTCAATATAAACATCTGCTGCTCTCCTGTCACTCAGAGCCTGCCATTAGCTGGTTTGTTCTGCCCAGGGTGTCTCAGTCCCAGCAGGTGCTGCTGGCAGGGTGGCTCCAGGAAGTCAGTGTTTCCCCAATTCAGGGTTTATTTAAAACAATATTCTCACTTTTGCTTTGGCTGACTTGAATGTGTATTTCCAAAGTAATGCTTTTTCATTGGGGTATACTTAAAAGTGTGAAGAGAGTTATTTAAATATTGTCAAGTTTGAAAATACTCTTAAGTGGTGTGAAGTCAGCTAGGTAACTACTGTCAACACTGTTTATACAGCAACTGTTTATGTTCCTCACTATTCTTACTAATAAAAATACCTGCTGACAGAAGTGGAAAATAAAGAGAAGAAAAGGCTTGACGTGGCATCTCACAGCTGTTTAAGATAGACTAAGAAAGGGTGCTTTTTATTGGTAGGAGTCAGAGGAATTGTTTATAATAACAGAAATACAATTTTTCAAGTTTACATTATTTCTCATAAAATTTTATTGTGAAAAACACCCTCATGCTAACAAGACTGGCATATCATCTAGTTAAATTTAAGAAACTTGATAGGAGAAATTGTCTGCAAAAAAGCAGCATATTTCAGTAATCTGTAGTTTCTTAACATCAGCAAAGAAAGGATGAAGGGAGGTTTGTATTCAAGAACCAAATGTAAGCATTTTACAGAAATTATCCCCAGAAGTCAGAGACATTTTTAACAGATTGGAAAATGGAAGGGTCAAGAAAGAGAACTATTCTATTTTGATTTTTGGAATTTATACATGTTAAAAAATACCTCACAAGGCTTTCATTTATTGTTACTAAACTGATATGTTTCATAAATGTGTTTACAGCTAAAAAGAGTTTAAAGAGAAGTAGCTGTAACTCATGTAGGGATCACAGCCGCTCTAGTTCTACTGAAGCCTGCCCAAATGTAGTAAGGCTATGGGGTCTAGGATAATTTTGGTGTTCATACAAAACATCAGGTTTTGCCCAGCTTTTTTTCTCACTTCATATAGATTAAGTGGACCTTTTTAAGCACTTGTTCTTTATTTAGATGTCTTGCTATGTGTTTTTTCAATATATTAAAAAAGGACAGTGTTTAAGCTGTGAATTTCCCGAGTTTCTCAGCTACTGGTGCGTGCTCAAGAACTTTGGGTGATGATTTCTGTGGGATAGAAGTGATACTCCTACATCACTGCAAATTTGAGTCTGTTCCTGTGGTAACTGTGCATGCAACCACTGATGCCATAAAGAAACATTTTATAACTTTTTTTTTAGCATATGTTAAAAGGGTAAAGGAAATAAAAGAAACATTAAACCAAGTTTTATTTGTTTGAAACTTTCTGGATCACTAACAGCAGCATTTAAAAGTATTTCAAATGTTATGAAGTCTGTTAGATGCTTCTAAATATGCAATCAAACATTTTCTGAGTGTGTCACTAGTTAGAAAGAGAACCAAAAGCAAGTTGCAAGTTTCCCAAGTCAACAGTACTCTCTGTAGCTGATTCTGCTTTAATTATAGGACAACTTCTAGATTGCATATAGCTCTTGCTTAGTTAATGCTTCAATAGCTTGGTTGTATCTTTGTTTTATAAAGAAGCATGGAGGGGAAAATAGAGGAGAGGTATTGAAACAGTAAAGTTTATAAATCTGACACAATTTAGACACAGATACTGTATGACACAAAAGATGAGCTTACAAAATCATTTAGGAAAAGACCACTGGAAGGGATTACAGCAAAACATAAAGGGCAAAGGGTAACAGTTCAACATAGAGAGGGATAAATTGTTTTTTAAATAATTGTTGAGTTTAAATCACTATTTTTTATTACTGTCTATAATAAAGGAAAAAAGACAGTTTTTTGTTTTTATTGTAAATTTATAGAAGAGTTAGAAAACATAATCAGCATACATAATATTATGGGATAATCTGGACAGATTTATGCATCAGAAAAATGTAATGGATGTAATGAAGGCAGAAAATGTTGTGCATTTTAATATCTGGAAGGCTTCAGCATTTGCCGAAGGCTGATGTTGTTTTGCAGAGTCTAAATGACCCTTTAATTATCTGAATATTCTTCTACTGTTTT